CGGCGTCCCGGTATAGCCAGCTGGTGCCATTGCTGGCTATTGGGGGCGAGTCACTGACCCCCACAGAGGGGGCTCGCAACTTGGGCGTCCTCCTGGACACACGGCTGTCTTTAGAAGAGCATATGACGGCCGTGGCCAGGGGGGCTTTTTATCAGGTTCGCCTGATACGCCAGTTGCGCCTCTTTCTGGATCAGGACTCCTTGTGCACAGTCACTCGTGCCTTGGTTACGTCACGCCTGGACTACTGTAACACTCTCTACATGAGGCTCCCCCTGAGGAGCACCCGGAGGCTCCAGCTGGTGCAGAATGCGGCCGCGCGGGTGATTATGGGAGCGACGTGGCGCTCCCACGTAACACCTCTCCTGCGCGAGCTGCATTGGCTCCCGGTGGTCTTCCGGGTGCGCTTTAAGGTGTTGGTTCTCATCTTTAAAGCGCTCCATGGCTTAGGGCCAGGGTATTTGCGAGACCGCCTGCTGCTACCGATAACCTCCCACCGGCCAATACCCTCTCACAGAGAGGGCCTCCTCGGGGTGCCGTCGGTCAGGCAATGTCGGCTGACGGCCCCCAGGGGGCGAGCCTTCTCTGTGGGGGCACCCGCCCTGTGGAATGAGCTGCCTCCTGGAATACGATTGATCCCGGACCTCCGGACCTTCCGTAAAGCCCTGAAGACGTTTTTATTTCATCAAGCCGGCCTAGCCTAAATGGTTTTTAATTGGGATTTTAAATTTTATGGATTTGGGGTTTTAAATTTGGGTAGCCAATGATTTAATTCTTTTAATTATCTTAACTTTTGCATTTGTATGTTTTTTAATTTTGGCTGTTCACCGCCCTGAGTCCCTTCTGGGAGAAGGGCGGTATACAAATTAAATTAATAAATAAATAAATAAATAAATTCTGGGGTATCCTAATGTAATAATTTGCCAGAATGAAAAAAAATTATACAGGATAGTAAATAAGCTGCTACCAGGGCATCTACTAGAGAAACAAAAAAAAATATCAAGATAGCTATTGTGAATACAATATATGAAAAAAAAATATTACAGGCTTTGACTGCATGGTTACAATTATAATCTCTACTTTTTGGGCAGACATTCCCACAGGACAGCTGTGTCTGGCTGCCACCACCTGTTCATGAGTGGGGAGATGTTTCTCTGATATCCAGATGGAGCAAAATAAAAGACTGTCCCTTCCATGACTGCATTTTTAAATAAATGATTTCAGTGTTCTCTGCATTAACCAAAGTGGTCAGTATAAACTCACGGCATCATGTTGCCATCACATCCCCTTTGCGGAGTTGGGGTGGGTGTGGCCTGCGCATGATGCATCCGGCCCGCAGGCCACCAGTTTGAGTCACTCTAAAGAGATGTTGGAATATGATGCACCATTACAAATATGACACTGGGCTAATCACAAGTAAAGGATATTTATTTTAAGAAACAAAATAAAGTGAGTACTTGAAAGTAATATATACATACATACATACATACATACATACATACATACATACATACATGCTTACATATGCCAAGCTATATAGTCATAGATCTATATATAAGTTATGTATCATTAACAGCACACAAACTAAGAAATAGAGGAACAGAAAATGTAAACAAAGGTAAAACTACTTGACTGAACAAAGGAACACTGAAAAGATATAACATGCTCCCGAGACATCTGCCTGTAGTTTCCTGCCAATGTTTTCCTATCAGTTCCAGCGCTCCCCATCAGTTAGGAAATCCTTGTTATTCTTAGAAATTGAAATCAACTGACAGAGAAGAGTCCTTTCATTGGAAAAAGATATTTTCTAAGAGCTATAGCATCCCAGTCATCAACAAGCATGCAAGCTTCTTTATCCACTACACTATGGCATGTAAATGGATTTGGGTTGTGACTTGGGAGGTGGACATGCTGTTTTTCTTGTGTATTCCTAATGGTGTTTACATGAGAAAACTTTGTTTGGAAATCCATCTGCATTATTAGATTTCAATTATCCATTTTTATTATTACTGCCGTAATATCATTTCACAAAATGATAATGTGTCCAAAGTAGGGTAATTTGAACCTGTCGTTTATGCTTCAAGTGATACCTCTGGGTTGATTTATTTGATGAATCATTAGTTTCCTTGGCTCTCCAGTCCTATTTCAGCAATCAGAGGAGGGTTATCAACCTAGTGCTGGTTATTGAGGGTTCTTTCCAGTGGTGGATTGCCCCAGGTTCGGACCGGTTCTATAGAACCGGTAGTAAAACCAGCAGGAGGCTCTGCCCACCGACCCCGACGTCATCAGGAAGCTTCTGCGCATGCACGGCCCGATTGCAAACCAGTAGTAAAGATAAGTAGAACCCACCCCTGGTTCTCCAATTTTAAAATCACACTCAACTTTTCACAATACAATCTATACACAAAAATTTGATCTCATTTTAGAATCATAGAATCATATGGCTGGAAGGGATCTTGAAAATCTTCTAGTCCAACCCTACCCAAGGCAGGAAATTTTATTGCATCTTGGACAAATGGCTCTCTACTCTTCTTGAAGACTGCCAGTGATGGTTCACTCCCAACTCCAGGAGGGAAGCTGTTCCATTGATTAATTATTCTGTCAGGAAATTTCTCCTTAGTTCCAGATTGGATCTCCCTTTAACAAGCTTCTACCCATTGCTTCTTGTCCTATCCTCAATGCTCTGGACCCCCTGCTCCCTGTGACAGACCTTTAAGTACCAGAAAATAGCAATCACATCACCCCTAATCCTTCTCTTCCTCAGGCTAGACATACCTAGTTCCCTTAATTGTTCATCAGATCATTTAGTCTCTGGACCTCTTACCAGCTTAGTTGCTCTTCTCTGCATTCTTTCTAGGATCTCAATGTATTTGTACTGTATTGTATCATTTGTATTGTGGCAACCAGAACTGGATGCAGTATTTCAAATTTGGTGTTACTAGTGCTTTAATTTTACTTAGTTGAGATCAAGGATTTTGTAACAAAACAGTTTAAGAGAAGCAGAAGACAAACATCTAAAATCCATACATTACTCAGAAAAATGTCTTGCTCATTGTACAGGAGTGGACCTCTCTAGGTTACTTTTTAAGGAACAGGAGACATGGCTTGTAGTATGAAGCAAAGTAATTTAGCTGCTAATGCTATTAGATAGCATTCATATTTCCAAGCTCGGTCTTGATGGCCAAAATGACTATTGAGACCAGCATGCTTTGAAAATACACTTTTTTCTGCTTTTTATGATTCCTGATATGGTTCATGCTTCCAAGTGAGGATCAAAACTGAACTCATAAGCCTATGTAAGATCACTTTAGCAAAGGAGTCAGTCCAAGTGAACTATTGATATATTTAGCATCTCAGCATTTATGTTCATTTTACCACTGGTGTTTTCATGAATAATAACAAGTACAAGATTTGCCTTCATGTTACACTTACATTATCCTAAACCTGGTGTCAATAATATGACACTGTGGATGAGGGTGGGTTGATATAGGGGAAAGAAATACCCATATTTTCAGAGTTCACAACATTGATGGGCATTCTGCCATAGTAGCTTTAATCGTGTTTGCCACATTGTTTCTCAAAGCCTAAGCATCCTTGAACCTATTTCTAATATCGTTCTAAATATCTCTAAAATTACAAAATGGGCAATATAGAAAGTTGTAAGCTTCTGATCACCAAATGCATCAATGGCACTAGCTGGTAGTTCGTGACACTTATACGCCCACATACGTATTCTATGTCACCAAGTAAAGCAATGGATGCACATGGAGAGAGAACTTAATTCTCCCAGATAATATACTGAAGCTTGATCTTGGGGAAACTAAAATTCCTGCAGCAAAAAAGCTACAGCATGCAAAGGCATCATAGAGGAAATATTTATTTGCAAAGGAGTAGCTACAGATTTTAATTCACAAACCAAACATCCTTGGAAGTGTATCCTGTGGGTTCTGTGTTTCATTCTAGGCATAATTCCCTTTGCCCTCACCCTCAAATTAAATATATTTACCAAAAATCAAAGCAACCTTTCCATATCTACTTCGGAGTGTCGCATCTAATATACCAAAATAGCATGGGGTGTGTGGGTATCTATGGCTACACACCTATTTCTCAAAGTATACTTAAGGATATGTATTTTAAAAGTTTCCATAAATTCCCTTGAAACAAACTGGACTTGCTTCCAAATAAATTAAGATGTTCCTTTCCAAGTGCAGCTAGAGTCTCTATAAATGAAATGTACGGAACTATAAAGTTGAAGGTAATTACTATCCAGATTTCAAAATATTTGTTCTCTCTCCAGCCTTGTCTTTTATCTCTCAGGCTTCTACACGTCACTACAGCAACATCCATAGCTCCAGCGAGGGCTGCCTCGCTGAATGTGCTCTGCTGTTATTAATGGAAGGAAGCACTGTTACACCTTCTTCTAAATATAGGCAATCTGTGTGTGCCTAATGACTACAATGTGAGAACTGAGAGGGACCAAAATATTGACATCCACTAGGTGTACATAATTTGTTTTCGTTCCTGCTCTCCTCCGAGGTATTATCTAAAACCTTCATGGAAAATCTGTTATTATTTCACAGGAGGAATGTGCAAACTGTTATTTAGATGTGAACCTGTTAGATGGAGTTTCCTCTGTTTGTTTTCCCATGCTCCAGCCAAGCCGTGTCAATGAGAAAGCATTTGCTGAGCTATTTTTAACTTCCCCCTTCCTTCCTTTTCTGTCTCTGCAAGGAGCTGCACCTTTTCATCAACACTGCAGGAAAATGGCATCGGGAGCCCAGGGGTGGAGGAGTCTTCTGGGGACACAGTTTGCCTAGTGTGCAATATGGGAAGAGAAGTGAGGATTGAGGACCAACCACGCCTGATAAAAGGAAAAAGACAGAATGGAGCAGCAGGTCTCTTACCATTGGCAAGAGAAATGATAAAGAATCAGTGAAGAGAGAAAATCTGGGCAGGAAAGAGAACAGAAGGAAACACAATGATCTGGTATTAAAGAGAAAATGTGAAAGCAAGGGGTAATTCCAAGTTTATTCAAACATTGTCTTTATTGAGTGTTTCTCTGCTATCTCCCCACTTCTTCATTCATCAGTATGCCTTTCTATGACCCTGATCCTATAACACCCAATCAGTATCCTACTCTACTAGTGATTCTGCAGTGATATTGGCAAAGCACAATCACACTAAGTCATCCTTTTGGAACACAAAGTCCCCACCCATTTTCTCCAGGAACAGCCAAGTATTCTATAAACCCATATAGATAGGACTTTAACAGGAGATAGAAAACAAATGAAGATCGAATGGCACATGTGCCATCACATCAGGATGCAATGTAAGTAGCTAAGTCATAACATTCGTCCATCATTGCATGTGTCATCCTTTCCCTTCTTTCTTCTCTTCCCTGTGGATGCCTAGGTGGGGATTCAAAGACAAAAAACAAAAATGTTTGAAGCATGTCGAGTTGTACACATGGAGCCTGTCTATAATTCTTCAAAGCAGAAGCATCCCTTCCTGGAAGTTGCATGGCTCACTTTTGTATCATCTTTGGAAAAGGTGCCTTTGGTTTAAAAAACTGCAAGTAGATGGTGATGAATCTCTCCGCATGCTCCAGAGTACCTTTTGCCTTTGGAAACAATGCATGTATCACCAGACCTTTCACAATTATTCAAAGAGACAGCAGTTAGCGTTTGGGATGTATATACTGTGCTGCCAGGGCTTGGCAATGAATTCTGGAATGCAGAGGCTTACTTTTTCATCCTCTCTTCCTCTCCAGATTTTTTTCCCTAGAAGATTAAGTAAGAAAACTGAGTGGCTTTTAGTACTGGCATGACACCAGTGGCTGGGTATAATTTAACCTTCTGCAAGACTAGATCTATTTTGGGCTAAACCAAATCTTGAGTTGATTGTTTGGACCAAGTGATCCAAAGTTCATTTACACATTCTTCAACACATTATTTCCCCATCTCCACTGCATCGTACGAATATGATGATTTATATGAGTCTCCCAAAACAAGATATATTCTGAAGAGAGATCATATAACATAGAATAACAGGATTGGAAGAATATTTGGAGATCTTGTAGTCCAATCTTCTGCTGGGGCAAAAGACCCTATACCATTCTAGACAAATTGTTGTCCAAACTTCCAGTGATGGAGCACCCACAACTTCTGGAGGGAAGCCATTCCACTGATTGACTGTTCTCACTGTCAGGAAAATTAGTTCTAGGTTAGATCTTGTTTTAATGATCTTCCACTCATTACTTCTTGTCCTGCCTCCAGGTGCTTTGGAGAGTAAGCCAGTCCCCTCTTTATGTCAGCCCTTCCAAGTACTGGAGGACAGTTATCATGTCACCCCTAGTCCTTCTCTTCATTAGAATAGTTCCCTTAACTGTTCTTCATATGGTTTAGCCTCCACTCCCCGAATCATCTTTGTTGCTCTTCTGTGCACTCCTTCTAGGGCCTCAGCATCACTTTTGTATCGTGGCAACCACAATTGGACACAAGTGTGGTCTCTTCAATGCAGTATAAAGCAGTACTAACTCTTCACGTGAACTCAATACTATCCGTCTGATACTAACCTGCTTTTCTGGCAGTTGCAGCAAACGTCTGGCTTACACTTAAATAGTGGTCCATTAGGATATCTAGATCAAGTTCTGGTCTATTCTCTCTTTAATAAGGGCCTTCTTTCGAGTTTGTAATCGTAATTACAAATTGCCTATGGTCTGATTATGTACATGGTGCATGTAGTGGAAAGGCAGATCCCCATCAGAGATACCCTTATGTTAGTACCATTATTTTGGAGTCATTCAGGTTATCGCTCAGATCCGGGGGGATTTGGACTCTGACTGGGTAGATCAGGGCAGGGTGACAAGGAACAGTCTTGAGAATGTTATCTGGGAGGAGTCTGATGCTGTGACTCCCGATGATGTGGACAGGATTTTGGGGAGACTTAATGTGGCCACATGTTTACTGGACCCGTGTCCCTCCTGGTTGGTACTGGCTTCCCGGGAGGTTACACAAGGCTGGCTCCAGGGCGTCATTAATGCTTCGTTGAGTGAGGGTCACTTCCCCGCTGCCCTGAAAGAGGCGGTGATGAGGCCTCTCCTCAAGAAGCCGTCCCTGGATCCGGCAATATTGGCTAACTATCGTCCTGTCTCCAACCTTCGCTTCATTGCGAAGGTTGTTGAGAGTGTGGTCGTGCAACAGTTTCCGCAATTCCTGGAGGAAACATCCTATCTAGATCCGTTCCAGTCGGGTTTCAGGTCTGGGCACAGCACGGAAACGGCATTGGTCGCGTTGGTTGATGATCTCTGGGGGGCTCGGGACAGGGGTTATTCCTCTGTTCTGGTCCTATTAGATCTCTCAGCGGCTTTTGATACCATCGACCATGGTATCATGCTGCACCGGCTGGAAGAGTTGGGGGTGGGAGGCACTGTGTTGCGGTGGTTCTCCTTTCTCTCCGACCGGTCGCAGTTTGTGTTGGCAGGGGGGCAGAGGTCGACCTCGAGGCCTCTCATCTGTGGAGTGCCGCAGGGATCGGTCCTCTCGCCCCTTCTGTTCAACATTTATGTGAAGCCGCTGGGTGAGATCATCCGTGGCTTTGGGGTGAGATACCATCAGTACGCTGATGACACCCAGCTGTACATCTCCACCTCAGGCCACCCCAATGATGCCCTTGAAGTGATGTCCCAGTGCCTGGAGGCTGTGCGGATCTGGATGGGGAGGAACAGGCTCAAGCTCAACCCTTCCAAGACTGAGTGGCTGTGGCTCCCGGCATCCCGATATAGTCAGTTGACTCCATCACTGACTATTGGGGGCGAGTCTTTGGCCCCCACAGAAAGGGCTCGCAATCTGGGAGTCCTCCTGGATAGGCAGCTGTCTTTGGAGGAACATCTGACGGTTGTTACCAGGGGGACCTTTTATCAGGTTCACCTGATTCGCCAGTTGCGGCCCTTTCTCGATCGGGATTCCTTGTGCACAGTCACTCACGCCCTCATCACCTCTCGCCTTGACTACTGCAATGCTCTCTACATGGGGCTCCCCTTGAAGAGCACCCGGAGGCTCCAGCTGCTCCAGAATGCAGCAGCGCGGGTAGTGATGGGAGCAACATGGCGCTCCCATGTAACACCGCTCCTGCGCGAGCTGCACTGGCTCCTGGTGGTCTTCCGGGTGCGCTTCAAGGTGTTGGTTATCACCTTTAAAGCGCTCCATGGCATAGGGCCTAGCTATCTGCGAGACCGCCTGCTGCTACCGACGACCTCCCATCGACCCGTGCGCTCCCACAGAGAGGGCCTCCTCAGGGTGCCATCAGCCAAACAATGTAGGCTGGTGACCCCCAGGGGGAGGGCCTTCTCGGTGGGGGCTCCCACCCTCTGGAATCAGTTGCCCCCGGAGATAAGGAGAATCCATGGCCTCAGTGCCTTCTGTCTTTCCCTTAAAACCCATCTTTTCCAGCAAGCCGGGTTGGCTTAAGAAGAAATTTTAAAATTCTTTTAATCAGTCTGTGATTTCTTAACTTTCGGGCCAAAATTTATATATATTTTTAAATGTTTTTTAATATTTGTATTCTATGTTTTTTATCTTGGCTGTACACCGCCCTGAGTCCTCAGGGAGAAGGGCAGTATATAAATTGGAAATTAAATTAAATTAAATTAAATTATGTGTTTTTTAATAAACAAAGGACAAATGTTTCTGTACATTTGTCAGAGAAAATTTTTACTGCACTCTGCAAAGATATCAAGGTGATAAATACAAAAATACAACCTGCATATGCCCCATCTATTTTGTGTCCCAACTACCAAACAGACCATCTGCCACCATCAAGCAGAAGTCCAGTTTTTTGCACCACAAATTTCAATTCTGTTCTGTGTAACGAAAGTCGTGAAAATTCATTGAGCACATATGGTAAGCACAGTGAGCACAGGAAATGGGTCTCTGAAGTCCACATAATTTTCTCATATGGACAGTAGTATATGTATGAACATATAAGAGCTGTAAGAGATAATCAGGCTGAGCTCAAGGGAGGGGTCAAGCATAACAAGAGATCTAAGTCCAGCCCACCTTGAAATCCATTGACTCTTATCTACCACCAATTTGCTTTGGCTCTTAATAGTTCAGATTCTTGTTAGCATTCAATAAACCTGTAATCATTGAACCACCTTGCTTCCTGATTTCTTGTGTCTGACAAGAATGTCGCTAGTCTTCTAGTCCACCACTGCTTATCACTGACTGGCAGCTGGTCTTATTGGTTTGAGGCCTTTCTTAGACTTTCTGCTGAAAATGAATTTCTTTAAATGCCAGCTTTCAGACATAACAGTTTGAGACAAACCCTGGGACTCTGTTTTACTTCTTTTTAAGATAAATACCCACTCATTCATAAAAGTCACCAAGTACATAGCAAAATAATTTTTAAAAATAAACTTACAAAACTACTTGCTACAAAATCAGAGTGAAGAAATCAGGAAAGAATCCTTTTTTGTTACAATTTCACACCAGTTTTCCATTTAATAACACCATAACTACACACATATTGGATTTACACTTTGTGCTAAGCCATTGTTTCCTAAATTTTATTTGTTGAATAAACTACAAGGGTGTGTGGGTGTGGGTGTCTGTCTGTCAGTCAGTCTTCATGGAACAAAGACAAGACCAAGCCATATAGGGCTGTCCCTAACCATTTGCAAGTTAAGCAATTGAACATGATGGGCACAACAACTTGCCATTTCCAAATAAAACCCATGGATGCCCTGTAACCAAGACTAGCTTGATGTAGGTACATTTAACAGCAGCATATCAAATAACAGTGCTGCTTATTCCATTCACCAATTAGTTCATTATGCTTTTGGTCAGTGTTTTGCTTAGCTGATTTGCTTGCCAGATGAGACTGGTTAGCTATATTGGTTGACTGGTCCCTATGCTTTCTCAGCATCATGAAAACATCACCCTCCTTACACCGATGCAAATCCCATCCAGTGCCTGGGATAAAGACATGGAGAAGTCTATGGCTAATTGTCCTCAGCACAGGTTACCCAGCGAGCATGGATACATGGACAGGCCAATGTATTTTCCTGCCTGAACCACAGACTAGATGCACAAATGCTCATTCCCCATATAAAGATCAACTGAATTGGCAACTGAATCTATTTCAGATCTGACAACTGGACAGCAACCTGTATGCATCTGTGAGCAACCTTAGAAGTGCAGGCCATGTAGAAAACTGCTGCCAATACCCCACTGCTCTTTTCTACTATCAGCATCTGCTGCCAAAAGTCTCTCTTGAAAGAACCAGGCCTCCCTATTTTTCATATGGAGAGAAAAGCATAGGAAATTGCTGTTCTTTACAATGAACAGAGCCATACTGGATTTGCACTGTTTTGATTTGCTAGATTTGAAAATCTGTGATGATCTCCATAGGCTTCCAAATGAAGATTATCAGGAACAGGGCCGCATCCAATATGGAGGTAAAAGTGACTAATAAGCAGACCCTTCTTAAAGAGCCATAAACCTCCTGCAGAAGATGGCTGAATGAATAATACTGTATATACTGTTAACTGTGGTAACTGAAAATCCAGACCACCAGTAGATGGCAGCAAAAAGAGCTTTCTAGATATGTCTAGGTCAGGGATGTCAAACTCATGGTGTCATGGTGGCGTCACATAATGTATCTGGACTTTTTTCCCGTTGGCTAAACTGGGCGGGGGCATGGCCGGCACATAACACATCCGGCCCACAGGCCAGGAGTTTGACAACCCTGGTCTAGGTCATCTCATGGTCCTTTGGATTTTTGCAGCCTTCTCTGGTAGCTCAGCTCTAGACCAGTGTTTTTCAACTTCAGGAATTTTAACCTGGCAATTCTAGGTGTTGGGAGTCCACCCTTTTTAAAATTGCTGAGGTTGTGAAATACTGCTATATACCACACCCAAAACAATGGCCCATTATCATTTATATAAGTTTAATCAAAGCACAACACGCTGTAAAGCTGGAGGACACTGAAAATTAAATGCAGAAATAATTGCAAATGGTTCTTGCAACAAAATGTCTGAAGATGAATTACCTTTATTCAAGTTACTAATAACTAGTGTTGCTTTCTTTCAGGATACTCCACTCGATTCAGTTATCCTGTTTTCTTGAACTTTCTTCCATACATTGTGACTGCATTCACAAAACAGAAGTAGTTTGTTTGTTTTTGGCTTACCTTCTTGAAGCTAGCCATTACTTTAGTAAACTTATATTTCTGTTTTAGCATATTTCATAAAATAAACTTTGGGTTATTCAGGACAAGTTCATCATGTCAGATGAATACTGTCATTCAAACGAACATGTTTAGTCTTCACTAGGCTAATATGATATTTTTTTCTTATATTTAAGGCCAGTACAAGCTTTGTCTCCACTATAACCCAGTGAGTTAAGTTGGCCTGAAAAAGAGTGACTAGTCCGATGTCAGCCTCCATGACTGAGGACAGAATAAAAACTGGCCCAACGCTTTAAACCACTACATTATAAGGTGTCTCTAATCACAACTCTATTTCTTTTCCTTTTGGTTGTCATTTTTTGCAGACATTCCTCAGGATACTGCTATATTCTTCTTGTTTTAACAGTGGCCTCATGTAGCATTCATTTATTGTCTGAAATCAGTATTATAAACCTTGGCAACTTTTGATTCCAGAATTCCTCAGCCAGCAGACCATTACATTGCTTATTTCCCGCCCTTCCTCATTCAATGAATGCAGAATATGAACATCTGGGTACTCTAAGGAGAGACAACCTATGGCCATTTGCTCACAATGATTTTACAGCATCACTCAGCCATCACTGAAGTGACCCAAAAGCCTCTCCTCATTACTTTTACTTTAGATGGTTGGATGACCCTTAGAAGCTCTATCTTGCTAAAGGCTGATCAATATAGTCTGAGCAAGCTCAATTTCTCAAGTTTTAATGTACACATTTTGTTTGTTGGTTTTGACACACCTCTCTTGGGGGGAATATATATATATTCCCCCAAGAGAGATGTGTCAAAATCAACAAACAAAATGCGTACGGAGAAGGGCTGAAAAATGCTGAGGTGTCTGTGTGTAATTTCTTCATGGTGTGTGTAATTTCTTCATATAATATATATAACAGAGAAGGGCTGAAAAATGCTGGGGTGTCTGTGTGTAATTTCTTCATGTGTGTGTAATTTCTTCATATAAATATACAGAGAAGGGCTGAAAAATGCTGAGGTGTCTGTGTGTAATTTCTTCATGTGTGTAATTCCTTCATATAAATATATGTAACAGAGAAGAGCTGAAAAATGCTGGGGTGTCTGTGTGTAATTCCTTCATATGTGTGTAATTCCTTCATATAAATAATATAACAGAGAAGGGCTGAAAAATGCTGGGGTGTCTGTGTGTAATTCTTTCATATAAATATATGTAAGGGAGAAGGGCTGAAAAATGCTGGGGGGGGTGTAATTTCTTCACAAATTATACACAGACACAGCATTTTTCAGCCCTTCTCCCTTATTTAGCCACCGGTTATGGTGAGACAAGAGGTTCAGAAGAAAAACGAATAACTGTACTATTTTCACTTTGAAAGGATGGCTTTTAAAACCAGGAGGGTTTCTTTTGTTCCCGCAATTCACAACGGATCAGAAGAACTCTCCCTCACCCCCTTCCCAAAAGCTTCTAAGACTTGGAATTTTCTTTTTTCTCCCCAATACGGAAACGTGAAAGGGCACCCCCGGCTTTCCTATTCAACTGGGCAGGCGGGAGGTTTTGGGGGGCTTTTTTGGGTTCAGGCGACGGGTTTCTGGAACACCGCAGTGAAGCGGAAAAGTCGGCGGAGGAGAGACCCACCTCTGCTGCTGCTGCTGTTGCTGCTACCACCGCGGCCGGCAGGCGAGGAATTCTGCCGGGCCCCGCGCTGCAGGCCGGCTCGAGCTGGCACCGAGCAGAGGGGGAGGCGGCCAGATGGCAGGCCGACGAGGGAGGGGCCGCGCTGGAGGCAGCCGCGGGAGGGGAGCGAGACACCTACGCAACCAGCGAGCGAAGAGGAGATCCTTGGATGCAAACACAGGCGTCCTCCTCATCGCTTCCCCCCACCTCCTCACATGCCCGTGATTCATTTCCACATGCCGTACACGTGACATGCTAATTCAGGGCTACTACACAATTCCGAGGCGGCGGCGGCGGCGGCAGCTGCAGCCGGGGAAGCAGCGAGCCAGAGAGGCGCAGCTTGGCGTAAAAAAAAAAAAACCGGGGGGGAGCGGGGGGGGGGGGCGCTGCAAAAGGGGACAAAAAGCGGGGAAATAGAGGTACATTTAACCCGCAGCATCCCACTAATGTCAGGGTTGTCCCACCCTCCTTTTTTTTTTTTAATCTTCGCCTCCCCTTTTCTCTCTCTCTCTCTCTCGCCTGAGCGCCTCCACCCGCCGCTCACCCTTTCTGGGGACACGGGGTGACGGCAGACCCAGGCGCCGCTCGCCCACGCTTCCCAAGCAGCCGCAGGAGGGGCTGCAGAAGGCGGGGCCAGCGGCCGCCCTCCTCTGTCCTTCTCTGAAGTTAGGCGCTGAGGAAGGGTTGGGGCTATATTTAAACACACCAAAAAAAAAATAAAAAACCCACGCACGATCTTTATTCGCCGGGGACGGAGCGGGGGAGGGGGGGGAAAGGGAGGGGAGCGAGGTTAACTACGCAAACTACGTTTGCTGTTTTTTCCTTTCTTTTCCACCACCACCACCACCCTTCTCTTCCCTTCCCTCCCCTCCGCCAAGCCTAGCGGGGACTGCAATCCTCCGCACGCTTCCTTTGAAGTCAGCTCCTTGTAGCTCCGTGGGATTTGCCTCCGGAGTAAAAGACGCCTGGAATTGGGACTGAAAAGGATAGAAAGCGGAATGCCTTCGGTCGCGTGCGCCATTTTAACCACCCGTCTGAAAAAGGGGGAACTCCCTCGGTGGGGAAAAAAAGAAAAAACCTGCGGTCACCCCGAGTGACTGGCTTCGCTCTTCCTGCGAAACTTGAGGATCCGCGCGTTTCGCGGATGGTGTGGTAGTGCCAGGGAAACGGAATGAAGGACGAAGTTGTAGTTTGTGGTGGGGGCGGCGTGGGGAGGGAAAGTTACCCACATAGGAAAGAAATACCGATGTATTTTTCAAGGTTGACACGCACTCCATCTCAGTTGTAGGAAGCCCCACCTTCCCCCCCCCTCCCATCCTAGAGAACGAAATATTTTGGCGGGTATTAAAAGAGAGGAAGAATATTACATATTTCCCCAAAGGAGAAATGGGAGAAACGTGTTCTTAAAGGCAGAAAGTAGCCCCAATCTTCCTGCATAGTAAAACAGCCTACAGCAGATGCCTGAAGTCTTTTAAGGGATGAATTTTTTTGTACCCATTAAGAAATCTGGGCCAATCTATTTGGCAAGCAAATCACCTTCAGCTCCAGCCGATGGGATTAAAATTTAGATTCCCCTCCCTCAAATTCTAAGACCTGGACATGACCTGTAGGACATAATAGGATTAACCCACCACCATTAGAATAGCAAAAGGCACAAGGCTCACTACATTGCCCAACATCCTGCAGCATCTCAGAAACCTATAAAAATCCATCCATTCCATGCCTTGGTTGACCAAGAGATCAACCATCCCAGGAACATGCTTCTGACAATGAAGTTTCTGGAATCCAAATAAACCTTTCCTTGCAGCCAGTTGGCCTCCATTTTATTTCCAGTGGCTTTCTCCTGGCTTGGAACTGGATCGGATTTTTCTTCCAGCACAGTTTGATAACTGCAAAATATTGTGAGACAAAGCCTTCACTAAGGCAGCCCCTTGGAAGAACAGTCACATTGGCAGTCTAGTCCTTTTTAGTGGCTTCTGTTTGTTTGTATAACTTGCCAGCACATCAGTTGGGTTCTTGCATGCTGAACCTTGGTTTGACTAAGCATGTTTTTTTAACCAGATTTGATTTACAAATCAAGATGAGTGTTCACTTAACATACTAAATCAAAACCATATTATGGTTTAGTGAACTCAGCATTAGATGTAATAATAGTATAGGAAGCCCCCTCTCTCCAGACTAAAATATTCTTTATTCTTAATATTAAAAAGAGGCAGGATAGAATATTTCCTCCAAAGAAGAAATGGAGAAAAAGGCAGAAAGCAGCCCCAGTCTTCCTGCCATAAGAAAACCATCTCAAGCAGAAGCTTAAAGAGGCTGGTCTTTTGGAAAGGAGATTTTGTATCCATTCAGAAAGACTGGGCCAATCTATTCATAAGCAAAGAGACTCCAAATAACACAATATGCAAGCCAAAGCTGACAAGATTAGCTCAGACAAACACCTAGGGTTTGCATCCGTCCCTCTTGCCTGTAGAGCCAGCCATGACCCCTACATGACCCCATAGGAATCTGGCAACAGCCATTAAAATATTAAAGGACACATTCTTACACAGGAACAGACATCTCAATCACAAAGTCCCAAAGAATGTATAAAAGCCCATCTATCTGAACCCCATTTTGTCAACTAACCCAGAAACATGCTGTCACTGAAGTTTCTGGCATCCAAATAAACGGGCCTTTCCTGCAGCCAGCCTCCATTTTATTTCTAGCATCTTTCTCCTGGCTTGGAACCAGCCTGGACTTTTATTCCAACAGTAGATTTCCCACCAAGTATGATGCAGACATCTGCAAAGTGCCTTCTTAGTATAATTTTACTATCCATGATACTTCCATCTAACTGTAGATGTGTAAAGACTGTAAATGTAGCTCTTTCTTAGCACTAATTCTAAATGAAATTAACAAGACCACTTTAGAATAAACGAGGTGGTTTTCCTAAATTCATCCCCGCTATTTTAACCAAATTATTTCCCCAAATAATTCTGAATACTATTTAATATCCACCGCTAATATATTCTAGTGGATTGATTTTAGGAAATTCTTAGGAGTGCCAGGTGAAGAATCTCTTTTTTCTGGCTGAAGCTTGTCAACAGACATTGCATTGACAATAGGGGCATTTTTCATCAAAGCCATGGTTTTCCTTAATTGTAACATGGTTGTAAAAGCTGGAGTTTCAGGAAGGCTGACTAGAGAAAAAATTATGCCTTATGTTTGTCATGCTGGAGAAGAAGAAATATTTCTATAGCAGTAATGATGAAAATAAAGTTAAATGTCATGAACACCTAATGCAAAAGCAAGAGTTACTGGAGAAGAACATGATACTTGGAAAAATCAAAGGCATAAAAAGAAAGACAATGAAGATAAGGTGGATAGATATTATCACTGACACAAGACTGAACTTACAAGAACTCAAGTAGTTATGGGCAGGCAATCTTGCCATTGCATCACAAAGAGTTAGGCATGATTAAATGACTGAATAACAGTATTTGTCAGCGATGATTTTTCTTTAGAAAGTTAATATTGCACAGTCCACCTAGAACTATAGCAGTCAGCAAAAAAGTAGCCAAAACCAATATCAAACTTTCTCTTCCTAATCCATAGCTATAGTACCTGAGCTTACAGTCTGAAGGAATTGTCCATCCAGGTTCCATGAGCCTTTAGAAAAAAAAAATGATGTAAAATTTAAAAATCACAGTGGTTCTGCCCTCTCCCCCTCAGCATATAATTGGGCTTCCAACAAGATAAAGGACAAACTCAACTATGGATAACAAAAAACTTTTCTGTAGGCCTTTCCATACTAAATTGAATTGCTAACAGCCCATCCTTGACTTAGTAAAAACACTATAATAGCATATCATTTGCTGTCCCAATTGCCGATTCCTATCCTGCTTTGATTGCATCTGTTCCCAGTCACCTGATCTCCCTACAAGATAATAGTAATAGTGCCTATCAGAAGTTTTAAATCCGGAGGTTTGCCCTTGGATAATATTGGAATAAAGGGACACACTAGTTTGATATCAGAGCACATAAGCACATTAAGCCTGTCTAATTCATGGTCTGGGGACAAGATGAAGTGAGGATGCTTTGCTCTCCAAGGACTTGGCACATCACAGGAAT